CGGAAGTTGATGGTTTGGATCAGGGGCCAAACTTGCCAATTCGCTAAAAGAGCGGGCCAGTACATCTGATGCCGGTACGATCGAGGCGAATCAGGTATGTTCGAGACGATTCATTCTGACACTTTTGGTGGCGCTCGCCCTCCATCCGCTTTTGTCCACCTTGTGTACTCACGCTCGAGAACTTCTCGCCGATGCCCGCCATATCTCTGCCCTCCATGAGCCCCATGAAGCCGACGAAGAGTGCGAGACCGAACGGTGCACTGAGATCAAAGAGATGGACGCCGTGAGATTGGTCATTGTGAAAGTTCGAGGTGGAGCTATCCGGCGCAGAATCGGAATGCTAAGGATCCGACAGCGACTTACAATGTGCCTTGGTCCACAATGACTCGCTTGCCTAGCGCCAAGAAGCTGACTTTGCCCATGTTCGCAGCTGCAGCGGTAGAGTATCGAGCTGCCGCACCGCTGCTCCCTTTGCCCTTTGGACTGCCCAATTTTCCCATCTCGTGAGAATTGAGCGGCAGACCACTGCCCGTCTTTGCATGACCAGCACTGGAGCCAGGCCCACCGGTCCTCAAGGGAAATTTGAGCTCTATGAACTTGTTCCATTCGGCCAAAAGCGGAGCCATGGCTGATCCGAAAGCTAGGAACCTGGCACTGCGAGCGAGATCAAAGCCGCTGCCGCTGGATGAAGTGGTGTTGCCGCTTTTTTGCGCTTGTGACAGCTCGAAAGTTTGGGCTAACGCGTCGGCCACTACGCTGAGTCCGCCATTGGTCACTGCTAGTGTCAACCAAGGTCTTTGAGCAAAAGAACGAGAGTAGAACGCTGCGAAGCGAGACATGATGCTGACGCTGGTTGATGCCGCAGTCACGATGGAGCAGAGCGCCTGGAGATGCGGTGGGATGTGTGCAGATACTCTGAGCGAAGTACTGGTGCGGAAGTGTGCAGGTAGCGAGATTGCCTGTTGATGATCACAGCGCCTAGGGTATGGTGTATGGAATGTCACGACTCCTTGGTCGCACCGACGAGCTTCTTGATGTGTGCGCCAAAATGTATGGAGGTCGTCCGTGCGTCGCAAGTATGATGTATGCACAGCTATACCGACTTCAAAGGCAAAACGCGCTGCGGCCCGAGGTATCTTGAGAAATGTGGACTGCGCAAGAGGTGACCTGAATAGGCCAGTAGCCAGGAGCGGGAGGGAGGTCGAGGAAGGTAACAGCACCAGTCTGCAGCCAGATTCGTAAGCAGTGTGGAAATCGCAAAAGGTCTGCGAGAGCTTTCGATCGAGGTGTATCTGTGGGCAGCTTTGCGAAGTGAGGCCTCCCGGACAATACCGAATCGAGTGTCGTGGAGCGAGTCAAGCTGCAGAGAGCGGCAAGGGCTGATCAGCACTCGTCGCAGCTGCGTGTGGGAGGTGAGTGAATGAATGAATGCTGCGCCTTGAACACGAATGGCGGTCATCGTGCTGCTGCAGCAGCAGCAGCAGCTAGCGCTCGGCGGCGTCTTTGGTGTATTAGCTGAATCGCATGGGTCTTATCCTCGACTTGCATGGCTCGAGCGCGCTGAGCGTGCGGGCCAGCTAGTCAGTCCATCACGAGAAGGTGTGCGTGCGGGGTTTGGTCCGCGAGCGCAACCACAACTTCAGTGAGTGAGTCTGAGTGGCAGCAGCAGCAGCAGCAGCGCGATGCCCATTGTTCTGGGCTACATCAAATATCTTGCAGCATTGCACACAAGAATCCTTCGCGCTTGACGCATCGTACGTGACATTATTACAGTGATGGAAAGTGCGACAAGCAAACAAGCATCACGCGGAAGCTTGGCAAAGACACATAGTGATAAAGATGGAGTCTTTACAAAGACCCACCTGCCTTTTGGCGATATCGCAGCTCTATATCGCCGCCGCTCTTCCACCAGAACCGTTGCACTTGGGCAAGCGTGACTGCGAACGAGGGAGCGGAGGCCATGCTTAGCGGCTGACGCTCCAAACAGAGGTCCATGTGTGTGTTCAGCAAGACTCACCATGCAGAGGTACGACTTCATCGTTGCACAAGATCTCTATCAGCTCGGTCGCATCTTGCTCAGTAGCCGTTGCCGTAGCTAGCGTGGCATTCTGCGTGGCGAGTATCGCGGCCTGTGCAGACGTCGGGGGCGAGCTCCCTGCAGAGCCAGAAGTCGCTCTCCCGGAGGTGGCCGAAGCAGCGCTGCTCGCACCGGGCAGGCCAATAGCAGAGCCAAGAGAGCGTTTGGCACCATTGCTACCCGCGGTGCTCTTCTTGGTTTCATCACCGCCATTTGACGCCGATGCGGAAGCATCTGCAGATGCGCGCCTGGAACCCGCGATGCTATTGTTGCGCGAATCTGTTGAGGCAATCATCTCGAGCTTCTCCGCAACATAAGCGCACGTCTTTTTGATGCGCAGCATGCGGGTCGCAGTGAGGCGAGCGTTGCTGCATAGCAGATGACGGATGAGGGTCAAGGGAATATCGCCGTGAGATGAACGATGCGATGCGCACTCACCCGCTAGGAAGCTCAGGTAAGGTAGCGGGCAGCACAGAGCCGTTTGCAGAGGTTTGGATCGTCGATTCGCCGCCGGCTTTGTCGCGAAGCTCAGGCGCGACCCAGGGAACAAGGTTGAAGCTGATTTTTGATAATGTCTGCTGAGGAGTCTTGTTGTGGAGCGCAGCATCCAACATCCAGCGCGGTGCACTTGTCTCAAGAGCAGCTACATCCGCACTTCCTGTTCGGACCAGGCCCCGATATACTATCTCCCAAGTGCCTAACGAAGAACTCGTTTCAATCAAAATCGTCGTGTCTGGCGGGAAGGTGAGGACGGGCACTTCGCTGAGGGACGGAATACTGAGCGGTTTGGTGAAGAGTTGGCGCAAGTCGGAGAGCTCGTCATTGCAAGACTGCCGAGACCATCCATTATGAGCGTTTCAGCTCGCTTATGATGCGGCGAACGGCGCAAGAAACCCGTCGCACTCACCGTTGCTGCTTCCTCCCCACCACCTGCGACCTTCGTCGTAGCCTTCACGTCTTGAGCGCTCGCGCGCTCGCTCTTGCTACTTTTACCCCATTTCAGCCGGCTCATTAACCCAGCGCCTCCCGAGACTTGATTGCTGGACGAAGCAGGTGTCTGCGGCCGAGAACCCGTGGGGGTTCTGGACTCACCCGCCGGGGCAGGCCTGTTGATAACGGTGCTCGAGTCGGGTAGCGAAAAATAGTCGCTCGATGCTGCCGGCAGGTTCGTCGCCAAAGGGGTCTGTGCAGAAGCGGTGGCGAGAGCCGAAAAGGAGCTCGTCAATCCGGTGATTCCTCCTCGGCTCGCCGTCGGAGTGAGCGGGGAAGAGTGGGTGGCCAAGATGGCTGGCGATCTGGCAGGTTCGGCAAGCGCGATGGTCATGCCTGGCGTGTGAGGAAAGTCACGCTTTGCGAGGCCCTGATGACCGTGAGGTTGAGGTCGCGGGATGCTGATACGAAGTGGCCCAGCTTGCATCACCTCGGGTCGTTCGGCGGCCAAGACCCCCTCAGGGACCAAAGGTGTGGCAGTCGAGCGCACCGAAGTTTCTGTCTCAATGAACGACTTGAGCAAGCTGCGCAGCACCATCTTGCCGACGTTGACTAGGGCATGTGCTTGGTTCAGCGGACAATTGCCAGCCGAACAAAGTGAGACGAACGACTCACCTCTTTGATCCTCGCGAAAGACCGACGGATCCAGAAAGACCGCTTCGTCGGCGTAAAGCTCCGCGTCAAAAGTCCGCTGTTCTTCGAGATGCACTGACAGCAGACCGCCCCGTACATCCACGTTGCACCACAGTGGTGCCGTTTCTTCCCCTTCGATCCTTTGTTTCACGAGACTCAGAGCCTCCGCAGGAGGAAGCCTCGAGACCGAGGCGGTCTGCGTGTGTTTGTAGTCGCTTGAGTCTGAGGTATCGCTCGAAAAGCCGTCTTGGTGAGCGAGCAAAATGTCGTCGGGTCTGAAGGTACCTAGGCAAGCACCGCGCACGATATCCCAGAGCGCGACCACATCAGCGGTATCGATGGTGAGAACGTGGCGTCGGTCATTCAGAGCAGAGGTTCTAATAAGTCCATGCGTGCCTTCGATAACGCTCTCGGGCTTCTTGAGAAGCGGTACCGCCTCAATCGCAAATTCTCGATCCTCGTACCTCTGCCTTGCCTCGAGAGCAGCTTCTTCCACAGCATCTTCGTCGTCACTGTCAGACGCCTCGTCCACGACATCGTCTTCCCACGTGTCGTCATTGGCGAGGCCAGTTGCACTTCCGCGTGGGAGACGCTCCGCTTCAGGCGCGAACCGAATGCTTGCGGATCTTGTACTTTTGGGCCGATTGAGAGGCGTGGACGGTAGGTGAAGGTGTGCAGGAATGGCACTGGGGCCGGGCGACTGGCGCGAGTCGTAGGACAGAGAAGGCCTTCCGGATGGAAGCGCCGCACTGCTCCGTCTGGCAGCGAAGGCCGAGTGTGAGGAGTATACATCTGGATCGCGAACGCTGAGACTTCCTAACCCGACAGAGGCGCCATAAGGATCGTTGGCTGGGCTCAAACAAACGAGTGAATCGAAGGGAATGCCGAAGAGCATTGCAGCTGGATGCACGCTGTCAGTGCTGGTGGCGGAAATTGTCATCTCCTTCCCTGGTGCGGCGCCATCAGAGGCCTTCATTGCACCTTCAATGCTTCCAAGCGATGCGTTGGAGCGAGAAGACCTATGAGTGCGTGTTGAAACTCCACTTGCTTGACGAGGTAGAGATTTGGCGTCGAATCGGAGACCTGGACCTGGCGAATCGTGTCTGGACCTCTGCGCAAAAGAGACATTTGGAGAGGGCGCGGAGCCTTGAGAAGAATGCTTGAGGGCGCTTGGCCTCCGTAAACTGAGGCCGCTTTGAGCTGATGCAGGCGGTGTCGAGACAGCGGGAGCAGGGAAATCGGCCAGGAGGCCTGTTGACGACTCTGTAGCCGGGCCTTCGATAGGATACAGTGCTTCTCTAGACATGCGGGATGGCACGTCTCTCCATATAGAAACGTCGGAAGACCCACCGGCCGTCCAAACATATGTGTTGTCTTGTGCAATGATCTTGTGGATCCCGACATGGGTCATATTGGTGCCGCTGGACGCGCGACCCCTCGAGCTAGCTCTGTTGGTGCCGGCGTCTTTGAAAAGGACCACGCACTCGCCTTCTGCCACCTCTGCACATCTCTCCCAGTCCACCTTGCAAACCAATCCAGACCGATCGCCCGAGTAGAAGACGTCGAGGTTCGGGTGATCGGAGAAGAGGCTCCAGACGCTTTCTGAGTGATGTGTGAACGTGTGCAGGCACCGACGCTCGCCAATGCTCCACAGTCGAATGGAAGAGTCGCTTGATGCGCTTAAGAGATGTCGTCCATCTTCAGACACTACTAGGCTCCGCACATTGTCGGTATGCCCGATTAGCGAGGCTATCTCTGCGCCGCTCCTCGGATCCCAAGCTCTGACAACCTTGTCTGGCGTGCCGGCCGCTATGACACTACCAGCTGAATTCGCCGAAAGGGCATACACGGAGGCTTTCACAGCGCTCTCTGCCAACTCAATAATGGGCTCAGGTCTAGTCTCTTGAATATCCCACAGCTGCGGCGCACCAGAGCTAATAGTGAGCTTGACATGGAGCTCAAGAAGGGAGAAAGGGACGAAGACGCACCTTGATCACGGAATCAAAGCCACCGGAGGCTACCCAGTTCGCTTCGCGGGCGTGGGACAGGGCTCGAGCATAGTCACGATGACTGCCTAGCACCTGAGGTGTCATGGAGCTCCGAAAGTCGTGCGGATTCCACACCTGAAGCGTTCCATCTGAGCCAGCAGAGACGACTGTCGACATCAACACATTTCGGATGGTATATCAGCGGGAGCCAGCGGATCGAGTTGAAGCAGCGTGTTGGGACTTACCGGTCTGATTCGAGTTGCAGAGCAGGATATCGTTAATCCAGTCAGTGTGGTTCTGCACGCACTGCCTGAAGCGAGGCTGAGGAAGCGGCTTATCTCTTTGCGATGGATCCACTTGCCAGTGCTGCTCCACTGGGGTCTCGCTCTCATCGACTTCATCTTCTAGATCAGACGCCAGTCCCGAAGCGCCAGGCACATGATGCTGTCCAACATACTGAATGCCGTCGCTGTCTCGTTCTCTTTGTGCGCCATCGCGCAGCTCGTCGTCCCACGCTGACGCTCTATGCCTGCGCCGCTTCCTGAGCGGCAAGCCGAGCTCCCAAGCTGCGAGCAGGCCATCTCGCCCACCAGTGTAGAGGATGCCGCGCGGTGTATGCTGCGAGGTCGAAGCTACTTCCTGGTCCTGCACGGATGTACTGACATCCAACGCGAGAGAGGTGACCGGCAGCGTGTGACGTGGATGGAAAGGCCTGCCGCTCTCTTGTAATGCTAAATTTGAGCGAGCTGGTACAGGAGTGGAGGGAGGCAGCTGTTCCAAAAGCGGTTGACTCCTGCCTCTGCGCTGAAAGCTGGACTGTAGCGATGGGATCGCAAATTCTGGCAGTGTATCGTCCCGAGGTGGCAGGCTGTAGGTCAGCCTTCTGGCTGCAGTAGCCGCCATGCTTGCCGGCTCAAGGAGAAGATCGATTCCGAGTGCTGTTGTCCACTTGTCGACTAGGCCGCCAGAGGTACTACTGGCAAGGGCGCTGCTCGCGCTGATCAACCTCGCATCAGTCTCGTAAGGTCCCGGGCAGCCTCGTCCTCGAACCAAGAGCGTGTCTCGTCCCTTGGCAGTCAAGAGTGTTGGGGGATGGACGAGCGGTCTCCGCTATGCTGACTCTACAAGACATACCGTCAGCATGATACGCATCTTCTGATGCTGATCTCTCGGTCACCGTCACGTTGCTGCTGGAGATATGGCGTCAGGTACCGCGCTTGTGTGAGGCGGTGACAAGCGCGGTAGCGTGGGTCGTGGCACTGCAGTGCTGTGCTGTGCATGCAGCTAGCTCCTCGTTGGGCTTGCTGCTGCTGCTGCCCGCGTGCGTGCGTGCGTGCGTGTGTATGCATGCTCTGCCCCGCCTGATCACGAAATGGGCTCCGTCTCAACCGCAAAGCGCAATGACGAAGCACGAATAATTACAAAACCGAGGATCGAATCGTTACACATACGGTGATGTACATCGCAGCGCAGCGTGCTGTACACGTGATACGATGCCGGTGGCGAGCGTTCGCGCGGGCGTGCTGCATTTTCGAAACTCGTCGCCCCTACAGCTGCTCTGACTACATTGAGGCGCGCCACGCCTACCGCAGGGTCGTGCTCCACCATCCGGGGCGACAGAAACTGCTCAGAGGGACGCAAGAAGGGGAGCGCCAACCTCAACGAGCGCAGTCTGAGTGCAACAAGATCGACGAGACGTGCGAAAGTGCGGACTGCCCATGCTGATACATGGATGGCCCCAGTGAGAAGAGCCTTGGATGTCCCAGATTCACGTGATTGCGTGGTTGAAGAAAGGGCACCACGTCAACGTTCAGGATCGCAGAGCGGCCGACTTACCAGAACGTCTGGATACGTCGCGACCTACCGAGAGAGGCGCGACAGCATTCTTGCTGGGGCCGCAATGGAAAGTGGATTTGCGCTGTGATGCGCCCGATAATCTCACACATTCCAGCATACGATAAGAGGCCTGGCCGAGGGGTTGTGATAGTGGATGTATGCGATGCCGCTAGGATTCTCTACCACTGAGCAGGACAGCGACAACGATTTCGAGCGAATAAGACTCACCCTGCTCGCTAAGCCAGTCCTGATTTCTTCAGAACAGAAGAACAGCGAGCATGGCGGCACTCATCAGCCCTTAGCTGGTTGATAATTAGGTGACCACGAGCAGCTCAAGCTGAGGCGGCTGCCAAAGACACGAGCTCAGACTGTTTCTGACCAGGACTGACATGTTGCGCGGAGCCCTTGATAACTGATGTCCTGCCCTACTCACCGTATAGAGTTAGGCTACAGAAGAATATTCGAGATCATGCACGGCCGCGGAGGCAGTCAGACAGCTCATTGGCTGAATCCACCTTCCAGTCAGGTGCCGAGGCAGGACTTACACATTCAGGTCACTATGCGACCGCAAAAGGAGCACACAAGCTTGATTGGGCGTCAACCTGTCCACGCTAAGCGTCCAGACGCGCATGCAAATGCTCCGCGCGTCTGCCCTCAACGGTCAGGAACCGTTAGAAGCACGTCAAACATTCGAACCTTCACTCGCGCTCGCACGCATACGCGCAGAGAAGCACAGACGCGATCTGATCAGCAGCTTTGCTTGGGCCATCTACTCGTCTTGGGTCTGGAGAGCCATCTCGCAGTCACATTATGGAGTGATCTGGGCGCTTGTCGAAGAGAGGAGGGCTCCAAGAGGGAGGACTGCCCTGTCAAATTGCGATGGAAGCCCGCTCAAGACGGCCTGATGGGAAAGTGCTCGTCTGACCTGCACCTGCAGATCAAACGACACATGCGGTGCCCGCTCAAGTGCGCGATGATGCGACCCGATCGCGGTCGCCTGCTACTTCCACGCTTGACATTGGACCCGTGCATCAACCTCAGCTGCTTGCGTATCGAACACGCTCTGATCTTGCCGCGCATGCCATTCCTTGGCTGCTCGGGTGCGCAGGGCCGGCCTCGCCGCCATGCGAGAGAGTAGGCTCGACGGCGCTCGGCCGCTCCGCCCACAATCCGGTAAGTCTCCTCAGCAGACCATCGAAGAATACATTGGCGGGGCACTCGCGCCAGAGAAGAGCTTTGAGAGGTAAGGGCACTGACCCTTCCTGCTGTCCCTCGAGTACGCCGAGACTCGAGCAATGCTACGAGCTGGACCGTTCGTCATTTCAATCCTCTGTCTCAGGGAAGGTTATGCACGCGCTTGCGTTCAAAGCCGTTGGCCACCCTTTCAATGCGGCGGTGCACGCGCTCAGCTTCGGGCAAAGCGAGCCTGAGCAGTCTTCGCTCCTCACTTTCGCGCGCTTGCTCCCGGCGCGTTGAGCCGGCAGAGCGGACGCTTGTCCAAGAGCGTCGCGTGCGGGGAGCCTCAGCTTGCGCGCTCAGCGCTCAAAGGATCCTGGAATGGTGATGTCTCCTGCGCGCCACGGCAGCCGTTAAAACTTTACTCTGACGTATGCCGGCTCCATAGCAGTTTGATCAGGCTTTCCTTTTATTCTAGCTAGCACGCAAGCAACATTCCTTCGTCAACGGGAGCACCTGGCGCGGCACTCGGCAGCTAGTCTTGTCTTCTGGCTCCATAGCAGTTTGATCAGGCTTTCCTTTTGTTCTAGCTAGCACGCAAGCAACATTCCTTCGTCAACGGGAGACCTGGCCCGGCACTCAGCAGCTAATCGTGGGCGACTTGGTTGCGCAATCGCTCTCAAATCTTGAGAAGAGGCACTCGAGCACAGCGTTGCTTGTAGACTCGAGCTTGCGCACAGAATTTTGCGTCGAACGCGTCCACTCGATTAGCCAAACTCCCAGCCAAAGTCGCAAGCGAAAGCGCCCCTCCTCGTCTATAAAAGGAGGCCTCGTTCGCTCGTCCCTTTCTCCTCAAACTCATCATCCATCCACTTCCTCCCATTTCCCCCTTGGCTCGGTCCCCTTCCCCCTTCCCCATCCTGACTCGGTCCCCCTCCCCTTCCTCATCCTGACTCGGTCCCCCTCCCCTTCCTCATCCTGACT